ATGCCCCCGATTTTGTACTGAACAGTTTTGTTGCCTATCGGACAGCTGACGACAAAATCATCATAGTAAAGGAGCAGCCTGACAGACTTTCCTCGACTACTAGTACTACTTGTCTTGCCATCACCAGGCGGCCCGTCATTTGATGTAGGACCGCACGTCAAGTCTGAACGAGCATCCTGGTCGAGTTTCACTTCATCTTTGAACTTCTTGTTGGAAAACAATGATTCAAGCTGCCTTCTGACAGGGATATACTGCATAGACTGTGTTTTTCCTTTGGCAGACTTCCCAAGCGTGATAGTTTGAGGGGGAACCATCATCAGATCGTCCTTTGCCAAATTTTCCAGCTTCGACTGGGTATCAGCTTGGTAAAGAGGGCTTACGGATGGCAGACACCTCGGGTCAATAGTCTCATGAGCATGATCGCATGAACTTTGAATAGCTTCACTACATTCTGCAGCGACTTTAGCTGCAAACTTCTTGAACTCTTGGGTAATATCATCACAGACATTCTGACAAACATTGCGTGACTTCAATCCCAAAATGAAAGAGGCTACGGTGTCGGAGGAGCCACGCTCATCATTGCTGTCGGCTTGTGATGTGCGCTCTCTGGCACCAACATCTCCTTCTGCGAGTGAAGCTGGCGGCGCGGCCTCAGACACTTGACTCGATGTGGCCGAACCCACTGCTTCATGCTCAAGGTTTGTTCCAGACGCATCTGGTAAGTGACCATGTCTGTGCAAGTGCCTTGACCAGGCACGGGTGTCTGCAAATATCTTGGGGCATGAACTGCATTTAATGGTAAAGTATGGCTCTGTTCTTTCATGGCGTCGCATGTGCTTTGTCAGCAGTCGCAACGAATCAAACTGGTGTCTGCAACGTTCGCAGGTGAACATTTTCTTTTCATCTGAAGACCTTGAGATTGAATATCGAGCGAAATCTGCAGGTGACCGTCTGAAAAAGACATTTGTTACAATACATAAAATAAATCTTTGTAGAAGTGTACTATGTGTAATATGCACTTTTACAATATGCAGAGATAGCCCTTCAACATTAGCGCGAGCGTGCGGTAAAATGCTTTGAATGCACTGGTCATACCGCACTCTGACGTCACCGAAAACGGCCTAAGGTAAAACCCACATTGAAAAAAAAAACGGTTTGAGATCTCTGAGACTACTTCGAATAGATGGATGGAGAATACGCCTCCAAATGGATGTAGAATGCGCTTACGATGGCATTGATGTTTCAACTCGTTCCGCTAGGTCTTCAATAACATAGTTAAGTGTATTTATTTTATGTTAGAGCTCATTTTGATGTAATGGCTAAAGTCAATCTTCAAAATAATTTATTTTATTGGACCAAAACGCGTTTTGTTTATTGCTTCATCAGTTGGTCCAACAGGTCAAAATATTGTAATTTGTAATTTGTTTGCAATTTTGCAATTTTGTAATTTGTATTTTGACCTGTTGGACCAACTGATGAAGCAATAAACGAAACGCGTTTTGGTCCAATAAAATAAATTATTTTGAATGATTGATTTTACCCGTATTTATTTTAGTTAACTTAGTTTCAAACAATGGGCCAGAGAGACCTTGCCACTGATAGTCCTAATATCAAACACATTCAACCATAGATGGAGGATCATGCCCTGAAGTTGGTATGGCCATGCCTAATCTGTCTTGTTGTTGGTGTGACCATCAATGATGGTAGCACACAATATTGGTGTGGCAGTTGGCACTGACAAAGTTGGTGTGGCAACTGCCACACTGGCCATACAGCGTTCTCCACCCATGCATTCAACCCTTGGCGTAGGGAGTTAGGGACTGGGGTGGCCAGGATGCCATGGCCACCACACTTTTCTGCCAACTTTGAAGTTTTTTTTTTTGCTTCAAAGGTAAAACTAAGATCACCAAATGGTTCAGCAATGTGAAGAAAGTAAAAAAAAAACGTTTATTTTTTTTCTGGGGGTGATGGGTCCAACAGTCATGTTAGTTTCTCAGGCTCCCTCACATTACCTACATTTTGTGGTGTTCCTACGCTTATGCATCCAACATAATATTTTGCTGAAATAAAACCATGACAGCATGCTGTACCAAATTAGTTCTGAAAAAATTGCACCACTTTAATTTCTCACCAAATTGGAATCCGACATTTCATTTGGGCACACTGTGGTGATTCTGTTTCATGTGATTTTTTGTAACGATGTTCCATAAATAGAAATGCTGAGGCAATTGTTCCAAATAGGGATACACTGTATTTCTATTTTCTATATTTAGAAACAAAAGGTGCATGCTCACCTGTTTGATGAATTTTGCAAGCTCTGGCTAAATTTTGCACATATATCTAGTTTCCAGCAGTAAAAAGCCAACATTTGAGTCTATATTCCATGGTTAGGTTCATGACAGATGATTTGATCTTGGGTTCGTGCAAAATGTGGAAGAAACCACAGCACGTTACACCATTTCCATTTATAGGTAAACATGCGTTCCCAAATACCTATACAAAGGTGATGGCGTTGAATTTCAAATGGTATTTACAATACAAAAATTTACAAAGCAGGTGAAAATTTGAGTTGAGTCCCAACCATATGTTGATGCCAGTTGTGGGCCGCCATCCTGACAGTTGCATTGTGCATGTACAATTAAGCTTGAAAATAGATACCTATCCTGAAAGGTCAGTGACTCTATTTATGGAACAAGCATTACCATTTATGGAACAAAACATTTCATGTTCAGAAATGTTTCCAAAGAAAGAAACGCTTCTATATGTGGAACAGAATTACCAGTCACAGTGCGTCCAACTGATTTGCAACTCCAGCTTACACAGTACACACGACATACTTAACCTGGTATTGGTAGTGCAACAGTCTACAAAACGTGGCAGGTTTCAGTTTCAACGAGATCTTGTTGGGGCAGAAACTGGAAAACCTGGGGCAGAAGTTGAAAAATTGGGACAGAAATGCTCAGCTTCACACCACCTCCCACATCAATATAATGTTAGATCTTTCTCTCATTATTAGGGGCAGCAGTTGAGCTGCCCCAGGTCTCAGCATTCTGATTTGAGGCAGGACTTTGTCTGCTCCGAAAATCTCGTCGAGCTCCCTGCCACATTTTGCAGACTGGGTAGTGCAGGCGTCACCAAATTTTAACAATTCAATAACTCTTTTATTAACAAAAATAAATCAAAATATCACTAAAATAAAATTTAGAGAATCACAAATCCTACCTACTTATTAATGTGAAGAACTAAAAAATGGTCCACAAACAGCAGATATGCCTTTTGGACAAATTTCATCACGCATACAAATGTTTTCGGATAAAACATTTTCCTAATTTTTCAATGATTTTTAGCTCGGAAAAGTCCTATAATATGTAGGTAACTTGTGGCTCTGAATAACTTAGAGCAAAACTTTCACTGTGCCTAGGTTTGGTTAGGTCAGGTCAGGCTTTAATTTAGTTTGGTGACACCCGCCCCACCCATACTACTCACCAGAGCTGGAGCTGCGTGATGAACCTTCAGAACAAAGATGCTCATACACAGTGCACAGCAAATTTTAAGTCCAACAACTTCTAAAATATCATATACAGCTTTCAACTCACCGCAAATGACTACTCTTCCCTCTCCCACTGCAACACAAAGCATCCGACGCAGCCCGCGCCACGCCGCGGCTCGCGCGCGCTCGCTCTGCAACGGTTCGCACAGGTGGTTGTGTGGTGGTAACAAGTTGGCAGCATTGTCACCGTATGGTAGGAGCTACCACGCTTGTACGATATTTCTACCACAATTTGTAATAGTTTTTGACATGGTATTTGGATGGTACTTGAACTTTATCATACTGTTACTATTTTTTTCAACAACCAATCGTAAAGCACTCGTAGCAGAATGGTGCGCCCTACTAAAACAATGGTAAAAGCGCATTTAGTACCAGGCTTTTACCAATTTTTGAAGCAAATAACGCTGGTAAGCAATTGATATTTATTCAATAATGGTATCGATGTAGTACATTTTGTTTTCAGTGTAGTGAGCCCTGCACGTGCAGAAGGGCGAGAGGGTACTTCCAACGGGCTTGTGCAAAGCACCCTTCTAACCGGTCGCTAGCGGTGTACCCAATTTGAACGCAATCGGCCCAGCCGTTCCTGAGATCTGGAAGCGGCATTCTGCACGTGCGCACGCGCAAACGGGGTCCAAAATGACTTTTGCACGGCACCCTACTAACCGGTCCCCAACCGTGTACCAAATTTGAGCGCAATCGGCCCAGCCGTTCTCGAGATCTGGAAACGCCCCCTGCACGTGCGCACGTGCAGTAGCACCCTAACCGCAACACATGGGAATGCATTGCCTGGTGGGTGCCTACCTGTATGCCAAGTTTCAGCGAAATCGCCCCAGTAATTACCGAGTTACTGAAGTGGGAACAAATTTAGCACCTCTTATTGTTGTATTTTGCACGTGCAGTGGGGGTCACTCACATAGATCAAGAATATTCGACCTTTGGTAGAAGGGATGCAGCTACCCTATAAAAATGACCGCAAGACAATCGCTCAAGCCGCTGCTGAGATATGGGCCTATCAAAATCATTACTTTTGCAAAACTGCTTGAACACCCTTGACTTTTCACGCGGCACGTGCCACGGCTGTCACTGGGGTGTATCAAAAGTAGTCAATTACGGGGTAGAAGGGATGGGGCTACCCAGCAAAAAAGACCGCAGGCCAATCGGTCCAGCGGTTGCTGAGATATAAGCCTCTCAAAAGCGTTACAGGCCGGGCCGGGCCGGGCCGGGCCGGGCCGGGCCGCTCATACTGAGATTTTTCCGTTATATTGAAAAGACTCACTTCGCTCGCTGCGCTCGCTCGCTCGTAATCAGGTGCCATGCAGTGCAGTGAGGTCATCGCCCGGGTTCACCGCTTAACTTTACGGACTAGATACAGACTTCTCATACGCTGGACCTGAAACATAGCTGCCCCACCTGCTGGACCTCTTTCTCACCCGCTGAACCTGTTTCTCACCTGCCGAGCTTGAAGCAGACGACCACGCCGACCGCGATGATGATGAGGGAGGCCACCACGCCGATCAGGATGGCCAGCAGTGGCGTCAACATCAAACCGTGGTCGGGCGGCGCCTCTGGTGACGGAAAGCGCGCTGTCATAAGTCGGTTCTTTCCGTTCTGTCTGTACATCATCAGCGATAATTCACATGTCCTCCATTTAAAGACTTCACAGTGCGTATTTATACATTACGCGCATATACGAGTATTGTGTGTCCTAAACTCCATAAAATTACGCTGACATGTGGATGACTGTTTCCATGTGCAATGTCGTGCTCCAAGAAGACCAAGAAGCAGCGCTCAAGCATCGTAAGAGCCCAGAGACTGCCATGATACCCCACATCAGGTCAGACCTGTTCCGGTGTTGCTGCTGCTACTGGCACTGCCACTGCTGCTGCTACTGCTGCTGCTGACGCGCTTCTCGGCGGCCTTGAGCGTGAAGCCGTCGAGCATGGTGGGTCTGCTGTGGCCGCGCGAATTCGAGGCGTACAGACGCACACGTAGCTCGACGCCGGCTGGGAGTCGCTCAGCCTCGAACTCGGGCCGGCCGGCGCTCAGGTTTCGCTCCAGCCGGCCGGAGGCGGCGTCGTACAGCTCGGCGCTGAAGCGCTGCGGCAGGCCACCGTCGAAGCCGGCCGAGCAGGCCACGCGCAGCGACTCGGACGTCTGGTTGACCACCGAACAGTTGTGCACCGGGTCCGGAGGACCTGGCGAGAAATGTAACCACTCAATACATTTTCAATGACGTGTAGACTGTAGAGCAATGTCTATGCGGACATCGCTGCAAGGATATCGTCATCGGTGCTCAGTTATCGTGTTCAGCAATGTCCGCAATTTTCTAGCAGCGTCCAGTCACTGTCACCCTTTCTCCTGGACCGTTACCTGCGGGTACGATGTGGAAGACGCAGGGTCTGGTCATGTGGCCGATGCCATTATCGGCCACGCACACCAGGATGCCGTAGTCGAGGTCGGTCTTGGGCGTATATAGTGCCCGGCTCCGCATACCACTGGATTTTATCTGCAAACGCGCAGACCTCAACGGGTCAAACCACTGTTGATCAAATCGTGAGGCCCAAATACAAGTCTCCAGAGTGACGCCCCCGACTTGGAAAACCAGACATGTCTGAGTTTTGGTAACTCGAGAATCTGAGTAAAGTATTTGAAACTAGAGCCATTACTTATCTGGATCGACCGTTCGGAAACGGCGCTATTCACTGCGACGACCGGAAAGGTTAGAAAGGTTAGTCTCAATTTTTTTTTAGGTGGACTGACCTGCGAGAAGGGCAGGTCCAGCGTCTCGATGCTGGTGTTGAACTGCCAGCGGAAGGTGACGTCGGCAGGATTGGCGTCCACCTGACACGTCACCTGCGCTGGCTCGCTCTTGGCAGTGCCGTACTGAGCTTGCTGGTCGGACACGCACACGGGCGCATCTGCAAAGGCAAAGCTAAGTTACGGAAGTGGATGATGAGCTGTGATAATCTCCTAGAGTTGAGGTGAACTAGGCAGAACACCACTTCTGGGGATCTTGGTGCTGCCATCTTGACAGCTTTGAACGCTACGAAGCCCGTCCTCGAGACGAAGCGACTAACAGGGCTTAGGTCAAACAAATAAGAGTAGCCGCGGCTACCTACTTCTGAACCAGATACAGATCCGACGCAGCCCTACCTAAACAACGAATAACAAATAGCAAAAGAATGGCGGCCTAATGACGTTCCCAATCCCACTTGGTATCCACATGAGGATAGCTTCCTGGAAATGTACTGCCTAGAGGCCGCAAGTTTGACGCAGCAGTTCAATTATGTAATTGCATGGGGAATACCTAACAAGGCCCCCACTCCTGACCGGGGCCAGAGCAATAATCGCCTTCGTGAGTGGGAAAAGTTCAGTCACCCGGGCAGGAGCCATCGGCAAACGGGAATGCCAATGGGTCTGCAGCTATGGGTCCGAAGCCAGCTGCTGATGAACACCTTCGCGAGATTGCTCTGTAATCGTGCCGTATGGGCAGCGGTGTCGTTACTTAAGAGCATTATTTCACTACAAGACATCAAAGTCCAATGTAATGCTATGCATTGCGAACTAATGAATGAAAGCAATGAAATAAAGCAGTAGAAAAAGTTGATTACTTTTAGCTCTTATTTATCGGTTTTGACTTCGAGAAAATTCGAGCACCGTATACTTACACAGAACAGCCATGTGTATGGGCCGGCTGTCCGTTTTTCCCTCTGGGTTGACCGCACGGCACACGTATCTTCCTGCCGAGCGTCGCGTCAGGTTCCGAATGACCAGACTGTGTCCGTTGATACTGACAATGTCGGCCTCAACAGAGGGAAGACTGGGCACTATCGGACGGTCCTGGAACGGAAAGACAGGTCATTAGAGTGACAGAGCTTATTAGCTTATTATTTTTACTGACTAGCCCGCTATCGTACGTTTATTTTCCTGCAGCTTATTTATTGCACCTATCTATACCTTCTTACAATATACAACACTCGCTCGTGCGACGCAGTCATCATTCTTTCATGAGAAAGGGTCGAATTAGGCCTCTATGTAATAGGCTTCAATTACCTACATAAAAAAACGTTTTGATGACATTTAATGGTTATCCAAGCACTGAAAGAGCGTTTTAAACCCTTTAAATATTTCTCCTACAATACCGGCATCCGGCATAACTCAGTGACCAAGGTCAGTTCTGTCAGTGTGAGGTAGTACTTGCGTAGTTTGGAAGCAGTGTGATACTGGCAACGTCGATATCACGCAATGAAGGGAGAAGGCAGGTCATCTTTCACGTCAACGCAGCTGAGTGGGGAACTTTGTCTCCTGCGTTATCTCCAGCGGGCAGACAACAGGAGTCGCACACCACCACCAAGCACGGCACGCACCCTCCGTGGTTATGCAGCTGTGGTTATGCAGCCGCCGACTGCGTACTCTTGTTCCCGAGGGATAGGTCGAAGACAAGACGCATACACATGTATGTATAATAACGTCTTATATGAGTCATCTAGAATGACTTTTTATTGCCAAGACGCAGTTTTCTTGTGCTCTGCATATCATCTACGGTGAGACTTTCTTTATAATCATATCGCTTTCATATGCTTTATGTTTAATATACATAAATCGTTTGTGCATAAAATGTGTGGAACAGTTATCAAAAAGACAGAAATGATCCAGACATATAAAGCAAAATTTAGATATCTACATACATACATTTTGTTTTCTCCAGCACTGCCGACGACACATTTCTATTTTCGTGATTGCGAATGAAAAACTCGCCTCTGCATAAGAGATCAGATGGACCATTCACTTATAATGGTTGACGTTAACAAAAGCTTATGTCAGAACACGATTTATGCGTGGATGCAAGTCCCCTTGTTTTTCAGTCGCTGAGAGTAATAGCAAAATGAAGAGTGAGCCGGGAGCCCGCTCCCTTGCTCCTATTTAGGATCTAACGCACCCCTTCCAAGCCATCGCCCCCAGTTTCCAACAGCGCTGTTTACCGTAAAGGCCTGGCTAGTGGCTACACTATGCGTTTTCTGCGTGCGTTTTTGTAGGTTTGCGTGTTTTGCGTAATATCGTTCTAGGAAAAAAGTTATAAACAATATACCTAATTTTTACTTTGTTTATATACAAAAGCTAATATAACTCTTATGTAACTAAAATTTAAGGTGAAAAACATCACAAAAACGTAATATCGTTCTTTTTTCTAGAACGATATCACGCAAAACATGCAAACACGCAAAAAACGCACGAAGAAAACGCATAGAGTAGCCAGGCCTTAACCCTATACCGTCGCACCAACACCAATAGAGGGTTGTCGGAGTGAGAGACGCTGTCCAGGCAGACAATTGGTGCAGGGTAGGAGTCACCCAAACAAACAGACGAAAGAAGGAATTAGAGGGACACCCCAGCAGGCAATTGATTAGAAACATAAAGATACCTGAATGCAGACAGTGGATGCGATTACAAACAGTTGACTGGTGGGTTCGGAGGGACATTCCCCTCCCTTCTCCCCCAATAAACAGTCCGACCGGGGAGGACGGAGACTGGCGTGGCGGCAGAGCAGCCCTGCGGCGTACCCGGCCGGCCGTATCCGGTCGTTCTCCGTCGGCCGGGCGGCCCTAAACCCTGATAGTGCTGGAATCCCGGCCCCGGCCGTGTCATGACGTGCTCGGCGGTCGCATCCGGTGGCCGGCGCGCTCGTAAGCCGCGCCGCCACCGTCGCTTTATCTTGAGCGCGCCATAAATCGACGCGCCTGGTGCGGCTTAACCTCGCCACAGCCGCGCGTCATCTTCGCCGCAGAGATTTCCCGGCTGCAGTGAGCGCTGCTGAAGGCGCTGGGCCGCCGCGATGACCGGAAGACAACTCACATACACAGCGGAGCTGATGGATGGGATAAGGGCCATGACATTGGACGCCTGGGGCAGGTGCCTAACGATGTTTGATCTCAGCAATGACTGTCTGTTGGACTGTATGATTATACACATGCAAATTATATGCATGATTAGTCTGGATAAATGTAGGCACCTTTCCAGCGATGTGAAATTGATTGTTTTCTAGACATTTTGTTTTGCCGTGTAATCGCAGTATTTATGCTGCGAATGCCAAACATCCGTCGGTTACTCACGTTATGTAGCCAGCTCAGGCTATAAATGACGGGATTGGCCTTGATGTCACACTCGAAGTAGACGTCCTGGCCTTCCCGTATGTTCTCCGGGTCCAGAGACGGACCCAATCGCAAACTCACGATGGGAGCGACTGGAACGACACAGCGCCCGTCAGCGGACAGCACGTTAATACATGTGTATTCAAATACCAATCAAGATAAAAGTGATGGCAACAGGGACAACCACAGCAAATACAGCATAAAAAGTTTGATGCTGTCAAGCCTGGAAATATGAAATTCGCTTTGTAACAATATTGCGCGCACTTCCTTAAAATTATTTTCGGCATTGATTTGCGAGACATGAAACTTTGCATTCAATTTAGTGCTGAGTATTCAGTACCTACCGAACGACGCACATTTATAGACAAGGACTCAATTTTCCTTTTTGGAGATTGGAGGACCTGAATAACATCCCTTCGATTTTAGATTAATCTTCTGAACTTCCGGAATGGGACAAAGTTTTCATTTTGTATATTTAGTTGTGCTTTTAACAATCATTTCCTTGTACGGCTTGCGACATTTGAAGAGGTTGAGCCTGCTTGCAGCCAACAATACAATTCCAACTGAATGGATATAGTCTTTTAGCTCGATTATGTTCGGCTAGCTCATCTAGGATAATTCGGTTTCTAGTGAAGCTCCAACATTGGCCTCCCTAATGATGTATTTGAGTTCATTTCATTGTACCCGTGGGACAAACAAAACAGAGAACGTATGCAGTGGTGGACTTGCTACCAAAGTTGACCTTCAATCCTAGCGTAACCCCAAAACCAAACCAAACAGACAGACTGTTACTGCGTGACTCTGGTCAACCAGCACTGACCCCGCCAACAGACCGCCGAGCAACCGTGTGGACGGGGTCCCTTCCCTGGGCTTAGAATGACTTAATTAGTACTTCCCTTTTAAATGCGTGACAAAATTGACGACTGGAATTCAGCGCTGACATTTAAATGCGGTCAAATAATAGGCGTTATTACATAAGTTATACCTATCATGCAGCAGGCCACATTTCATGTTATAACTGAACCACGCTTTGCGTCCAGTACTCACAGCGCACGTTGAGCACCCTGCTGTCCTCTAGAACTCCGTCCCTGACCAGACAGTTCTCTGCTCGACAGCGCAGGGACCGACCGTTGTCTGCCGCAGTGGGCGTGAAGGGCAGAGTGCTGCTCGTGATGTTTCCCTGGCTCATCTCCTGTGGACATCGGGGCGCTGAGGTCACCGCACAGCCGACGGTCAGCCTGGACAATTGGACAGAGTGTTTGCTGCTGTGTCTCTAAACAATGCATTTGTGATATTTCACCGTATGCATTGAACTATGAAGATACTATGCATGGCCGAGAATGTTCCTCAAAACTGACAGAGCCAAAGATAATCAGATTATATAGTCACCGTATTGATGGCCATCATATTTCGGTTAAAAAGCACAGGACTCCAATGTCGGTCATTTTTGGGTGGCAACTTGCAATTGATGACCACAATATTTTCAGCCGTGCCAATGAGCCCCGCGAATTGCATTTCACCCTGCCAATGCAATGGTCCATCAATCGGCGTCAGTGTGGCACAATCTCTCATTTACGGCACAGTAAGATAAATATCGTCAGCCGCGGCGCAAAATCACAATTCCATGCGACATTGCCCGGGGGGTCGGCGATAAATGCCACAGACGGACACTCCGCCATACGTTAGGGCCGCCGCCCAATGGACTCATGCCGCGGAGGGCTGTTTGTTTCGGCTGGTTCGTCGTGTCAGAGCGGCCGGTCGCGGCTCTAGCACCGGGGTCGTGAACACTAATGGCGCCTGGTCACGCCATACTAGAGCGATGATCTGAGGCGGAAAACAGGGACGGTCCCGGCACCTGACACCTGTCACCCAAGGTCACGGGACTGCCCCATCATGCAGGGAACGTAACCGGGCGTAACATTGTGTTAAGCGTGTCACAATAAAACTAGCTTTCTATCTAAGACTAAGTTATAATTCGGATGGTCGGAAATCTTTCTCGTATTTCTCATGCATGCAAATATCCTACTTTCTGCTACTTATACCACTCCTTCACGAATAAAATAAAGTTATAATTCCCACTTTATGGCACACTCAACCCGTTCTCTCTGAGACTATGGTTTCCCTTACCATGAGGATATCTCCAGTGATGTGTGACCGTGTGACTGACTCTCCGTCCCTTACCATAGGAGTGTCCCGGCTATCATTCCCAAGACCCTCTCCCCCGTTACCTTACCATGAGCGTGTCTCCGGTGAGTCGTCGTTGCCCGATCCACCAGGTGACATTGGCCGGTGGTCGGGAGCCCACTGTGTGACACACCAGCTCGTACGGATGGCCGGGCTCCAGCGAGGCCTGCGCTGAGCCGAGGATCGACACTGACAGTGGTCGAACTGCGAAACGGAGAGGGGGAGGTCAGAGATGAACGGAATGAATCGATAGTGACTGAACTGCGAACCAACCAGAGAGGCGAGAGGTCAGAGATGAACGGATCGACATTCGAAACAGACTAGCAGGACTGACAACCGGAGCGAGGGTAGGTCAGAGACGGACAAATCGGTGACGGCTGTGCGACCGATGTTGGTCTCGCCGAAAGGCGGGGTCCTCAAAGGCTTGCTTGATGCTTAACCCGCGCCCCGTAGGGGGGGGGGCGAAACGGCCCCCCCTGTCCTTTTCGGTCGATATCTCCTAAACGGCTGGAGATATCGCCACCAAACTTTCAGAACCCCTCCGGGCATCAATTTTACACATTGTGACAAAAAAAAAATTCCAGAGGCTATGATAGGTTGGCCACAAATGACGTCAGAGTGACGTCATGTTCTGTCATTTTCGACCGAAAAAAGACCTTCGCGAGTAGACCTGTCAGGACTACAGCTTTGAAGATACAGAAAAATGATCTATATTATAAATCCTAAAAAGTACCCCGCCGCCCACGCCCACGCCGTGTGCGACGTACGCACTTTGTAGCGCTTATTGCGGCGGCGTCTGTTGACCTACGGCCGTGAAATTTTACAGCGATGTGGGCCACCTTTACACGTAGCTCGTATTAATTTTTGGGCATGATGCGGCCGGGGGTGCGCCCGCGGCGCGTGCTCGCGTGCCCATAGGGTTAACATTAGAATTGGCAAAAACACGCTATTACTCGGGAACGGTGAGGGCTACGGGGGTGAAATTTTCAAGCCAAGTCGGACGCGTGCACTCATTTGTCGTGTCAACTTTTGAGCGGGTGCGTTCAGCGGTGTGCACGTGGTGGGGCCGCGACCGGCGCCGAGCAGAGGGCACGTGCTTAGGCTCAGTTGTTCGCTTAAAAAGACCGAGTGGAAATAATCAGAGCCGGGAGGTCATTGACCTTTGACAACGAAGGCCGACACAAGGCACCGCTGGCCAAGGGGATTCACCAAAAAATACATTTAATTTATTTTTGCAACATCTCAGCCGTTTCTGGGCCGATTTAGCTGAAACTTGGACTGTCGCTGGTAGGGTAGGGTAGGATAGGGTAGGGTAGGGTAGGGTAGGGTAGGGTAGGGTAGGGTAGGGTAGGGTAGGGTAGGGTAGGGTAGTGTAGTGTAGTGTAGTGTAGTGTAGTGTAGTGTAGTGCAGTGTAGTGTAGTGTAGTGTAGTGTAGCGTACGAGTAGGGTAGGGGTAGGGGTAGGGTAGGGTAGGGTAGGGTAGGGTAGGGGTAGGGTAGGGGTAGGATTGAGTTAAAAAAGGGCCTAACATACAAAAGACTTGGACACCCCGCAACTATCGCTATTATATTAACCCTCGCCCATGTAGGGGGGGGTTGGTGCAACCCCCCCCCCTGAGGTTTTTCGAAAATAGTGCAAAAACGGCGGCGCGCAGCGCCGCCAAATTTTGGGTACCTTATGGGGCAAACCTTGCGCATCTTTTGATAAAAAAAAATTGACCGGGTCATGTCAGGTCACGGAGTTATGACGTCACAAAGGGAACAGCCTCCGGCCGGATTTTCACAAACTGAGTGCCAACGCCCGAGGTTTCCTGCCGGTGGTTCGGAGATCGGTTGATGGATCGTTATGAAACTTCACATGCATGTTGGGGCAAGTATTGGCTATCATATGGTATAAGAAACTTGACCGGGTCAGGTCAGGTCACGGAGCTATGACGTCACAAGAGGAACAGCGTCCGGTACTATTTTTGAAAAGCGCCCGAACCACTATTTTGCTAATTCTTGTCACCTCAATGGGAATATGCAGCAATATTAGCTTCTATAGGGAGCAAATGGACCTCCCAAATTCAAAAATACAATCAGATTTCAAAAATTTAAATTTTGATTTTTCGAATTTCTGCCGCCGACTGTGACCTTGCCGACTTCCGGCGCTCCCAACGCGCCATTTTTAGAGCTAGGGAAACGAAATACATACCAAACGATAGAGAATTGATCAAGGAACACGATAGTGAAGGTTTCAAGTCGATATCTCCCACCGTTTTGCCGCAATCGCCGCCGAAAGTTGAAAAAAGTCTATTTTTCCGAAAATTTGACCTTTGACCGGTCATAAATAGGTCAAATGTTGACCTAGGACCAAAAAATATACCACCAATCGCGAGATCTCGGCGAGAGCAATCCGTTGGTCTTTTCCGCTAAGCTCTACGACGCTCCGTTTTCAAACGCCAAGGGGGGGGTCGCACCAACCCCCCCCCCCTGCATGGGCGAAGGTGGCAGATCGCCGTTTACGGGCGAGGGTTAAAAACAGCTACCCAAATCTACCCAAATGATACAGCTAAAAATACAAGCTACTCACCCAAACTAATGCATCCGTCACATATAATTAATCAAAACATACAGTTATCGCGCAAACCTGTACCTCTAGTCAAGACATAAAAGGTGTAGAATTGACAGGGCTACAAAACTGCTATCTCGAATTTTTGAAATTTTTGAGTTTTGACCCCCAAAAATCAAAAAAGCATTTTTTTGGATATATTCGCCAAAAAATCCAAAAAGTTTTTTGAGTTTCGAAAAAAACGGAATATATGTGATAGTGCCTACCGTCTTCTATCTACATACCAAATTTCAGATCGATACCTCGTTTTTTGGCCAAGTTATAGCGAAAAAAAACTGTTCAAAAATGATGACGTCAAATTTTCAAACTCAATTTTTGGCAATTCTAGAACTCGTAGAGCAAAACGAAGACCACCATTAGACTCCCCGTGACGAGTTGCATCGAATCGATACCCATTTTAAGCAAAAAAATCAACTTTGAAATTTGACCTAATTTGACCTGACCTTGACCTGACCTTCACCAAAACGTGACCTAGGCTGGCCCCAAAGGCTGCCTAACCCACATAATCGCATTTGTCATGTAAAATGGACCATAAAACATGTATCACACGACACATTCATATTGTGACCCCCGGTGACCTGACCTCGCTGTGACCTGACCTGGTATCAGTGACCTCAGATAGCAAAGTATGTGTTTGACGAACAAGGTACCATCGATGGTTTTCAATAAATTACCAATTTACTCGCTTTCACAGCACATTTCTTGAATTGCCTGTGAACGGTGAAAATCTGACCTTTGACCTGACCTGTGACGTCATCGGTTTGACCTAGGTCAATGAAATTTGGTCAAAAGGTAGTTCCCAGGTGGGGCTATTGAACGCCGTTTGAATTTTGAAAATCGGCCGGTAACTTTCCGAGATCTTAGGGGGGGCCGAAACGCCCCCCCCCCCCCCCCCCTACGGGTGGTAGGGTCCGCCGGTAGCCCTACGGGGCGCGGGTTAATGCTCAGTGCTGCTGCTTAATGCTCAGAATTCAGCGCTCATTGTTGACTGTTCCAGTACTCGGAGCTGCTGGGACAAAACAGCGGCATCAGCGGCATCGCCGGCGGCTGGCCACTGTAATTCGACCCGGCACCCGTCTGATGGAATGATATCCTGTTGCACAGATCTGAAGGGAATGACTATGATGGCAATCACTGCATCACTGCAGTGGAATACCCGCCGGTTCGCCACCTGCCTGCAGAGGCGTACGGCTGGGAAGCGTCCAACACGGTATCGAGCCGGCGCCGCCCGCCCGCCGCCTCGGTCGGGAATGAGATATGAAGTTTCCTGTTTTCTTTGCGGTCGCGTGGGAAGGTAAATGGAATTCGCTAATGTGATCGAGCGCACTTTCAGCAGAGGTGTAAAACAAGAATGAGAGGCCGGGAAGTGGGTACGCCTATTGATGGTGTCCCTTATGATGAGAACTTATCGGCCTATGTCACACATGCCTTAGGTAAAGGTGACTTCCGTTGCGTTTCCTGACAAATATAGCTTATCAAAAACGTAATTTTAGATCTGTTCACGATATTTTTCACTGTCATGTAATGTATAACGAAGCAGGCTAATGAGTTGGTAAGCTATTTGCAGCCAATTAACTTTTATCTAAATCGAAACATGATTCTTAGATCGAACAGCGTTTGAGTGAGTCACAATCTGATTTCATTGATGGGATATGATCAGAAAGCGTGAATAAGCCCCAATTCTGGATTCGTTCGACATTTTTAGGCGTGTTGAGGGAGTAGAAACGTGGTGGGTAGAAGTATCAGAACTTGAGGTTTGTCTTACAGGCTGAAGGCACTTGAGGTTGAGGTTAGCCTCATAGATAAGAAAAAATGGTAGTTTTATGGAAGGGCAATAAACCTGCCAAATTAATATCGAATTAATGAAATGTGCGTCCGTGCGTGGCTATGTGCGCACGTTAAACTTTGGACTCCAAAATCTGCCATAGAACCCGAATAGCGCGATAGGAGGGTAGAGGGCCAGAGGCAGGGTCAACGCAACAAGCTTCGCTTAGCGGGGGCTCTGTCCAATTGTGAGTCCTTCCATTTAAAGGGTTCGGACTAAATTTATTTTCAAAAATATCATAAAAGAACATGTGATGAGTACGAACATTGAGCTGATCGGTCAATGACCAGCCTAAGAAAAGAGCGGAATGGGACCGATGCAGGATGAAATTATGTGGCACAACGTAGAACTTCGACCCGATAAGAAAGTACGTGCAGTAAGAAGGGTCTGTCTAAAAAGATGATAAAGGCTTATCTACTGCCTAGATGAGGCTGAGAGTTACGGCACACTTAAAATAGCATGGGACGAGCAGAGATTCCAATTCTTGGAAGAAATCAAACTTCACCAAGACGACTGACAGAGCCTGACAGCAATGTCATCCGCATCTGCATGACAATACAATGACAACAAAGAGCATTGATGAGGTGGGGCGCCCCTTCCTAGATCAGGAAGAAAACTCGAGTAGAATGATTTGTTTTAATTACTTGATATGCTGATTGTAATTATATGACGAACAGAAAACGAAATAATCGGTTAGGGTAGAGTGGGGCAAAGGGCCCAGGGCGGGTCAAACGCCCACCCCTCTTTTTTATGAAGTGCTCGACTTTTCGAAGAATTCTCGATAGCCATTTTCAAGAACGAGCAGGAATCTACTTTTGCCCCCTTTTTCGGATCTACAAGTGGGTTGTTCTGGACGTAAGATAAAGATTAGTTTATTTCAGACAATTTTTAGATATTACATGTTTTCATACTACTAAAACTTTGTCTGACAGAGATTAAAGTAGGCAATGAAATTTAGCTACGCAGAACCTGCGGATTTAAGCTACGTTTTGAGCATTTACTGGTTTGCAACACAATCGTCACACGCTTAATTTTGGTGGACTTCGTTTTGAATGTGCTGTTGGGGTAATACGCCCACTTTGGTGTGGGACAAAACGCCCATCATGGGCGTTTTACCCCTAATGGGAGTTATACAGTACGGGTATTTGCGAACATTTTTGGCTGAAAGTGAGTGTCGGGATACGTTTCTACTGCTCAGGATTCTTATGAAATATGCAATATACTGGTTAGTATCGCCTGGAACAATTTATTCGCACGAACTAATCTCCGCTCTTTAAGGCGGTGACAGCCCGTTGACTGAATGAGGAGTGGGGTGGTAACAACAGTGTTCAAGATGTGTTTGGTGGTGTAATCTATTGATTTAAAGTCAAACGAAATGAGAATGGATAAATACTGCATTCTTTTGTCAGAGTACCGAGCGTGTAATGAAACGTTCAGGACTGGGCGTTATGCCCCACTCATATGAGCGTTATGCCCCATGGGTGGGGCAAAACGCCCGATTTGTAGTCCTCTCAATTCGGATGGCATATCTCAAAAACCATGCATGCCACTTGTTTCTGATGTGTTATTCGAAGAAAGCCAAGGTAATGAGCTACCAGATCAGCTACCTAGTTGTCTTTCAAATTTGTAAGATAAAGAGATACTGGGGCTGGAAAGTTAGGGTGGGCGCTTTGCCCCACTCTACCCTATGTAATAAGTCTAATAATGGAACAAAACCCAGGTATCGAAACAACCGTCATTCAGGAGAAAGCTAGACCACTTTAATTGGGAATGAATAGCAGCCCGAGATTAAATTGGGAACGATCGTATTAGACCCAAAGCAGGCTTAGTTGGCCAATAAAGTGCAGCAAATCAAGCTGCCTCCATCAACTGTTCAGATTTAACCGCCTTTATCTGATGATGCTTTGTTTGTCAGACCAATAGAGGTCACCAAAGATCGATCCGAGCGAACAGATGGCCAGCCATCGGTCCCGTGCACTTCAGCTTACGCAAAAACAGCGCTGCCAGCTCCAAATCAAATGTTTTAGAATGTTCATAGGTTCAGACCAAGCCTGCTTCATTTGCATTTTGTTTTGAGGAAGGATCCCAGTTGGAAACTCCCAACAACTTTATGTGCACTTTGTCGATTATGGAACTTGGGAAACCTTTCCTCAACACACCTTCGGGAGCAATTCCATGCCGCGATCGGCGTTCCTCTCACATCTATGTAAGAAACCTCACCGTAAAGGCCACCATCTTAACCAGATAATCGATGCTTACGAGTAAATGCGAAAAAGGAGATAGCTCTTCATTTCGAGTCATCACTAATGTATAAGCACATGTCAGAATATGTAGTACAGTGAACACCCCAGCTAACCATTTAGCTCGCAAGAAATAGATAATGAAATGGTGGTGCGTTTCATCTATTGAATGACTCTAGCAAGTTAGATTGATTGCCGAATGACCCTCCGCGAATTAAGCTTCTATCTGAATAATTGGATACCATTGCAAGAGCTCAGACTACGACATGACTTCAGCCAGCGCATCCAATCTCACTCACAGCTCATCTCAATGGCCAGTTTGCTGATGACGGGCGAGCTGATGTTGTTGTTTGCCGCCGAGCAGACCAGACTCGAGTGCAGGTCGTCCCGTCCCAGCGGCGGTAGTCGCAGCACGTTCGTCACCTGACCCGACCCCTGGTCACCGCTGTCCGTGTCGTCCAATAGGCGGCCGTCTCGGAACCACGTGACACGCGGCGGCGGCCGGCCTGCGGGTCAGAGCAGAGTCACGTGATATTTGTCAGAAGTGATGCTGCTGCAATGTTGTGATGATTAGGGATAACGCATTGGGCATGGCCAAACACACAATAGAGGCGAAAAAGCGGTCGACTCTGTAAAAGCGCCGTTTTATAACAGGATAACAGACATGAAGAATTCACTGCGTGATATGAGGCAGAGTGCCATATAGGCACCAGTATTACGGTACATGGTGGGCGCATAGTGACAATAAAAGAATAGAAAATACGTGAGGGTATGGACTTTTGAGCTCCTACCCCTCGCTAGGTACACCCGAAGGCGGGCATCACATTCACAACTCCTCAGCAACTCAATATCTGGCAATACGAGCGGATGCATATGAGTCTGCTTCACTTCAGAAACCTCAAAACACAGCTGTGTGCTTCATTGCGACCACGCTGTTCCCTCATGATCGTTCTCCTGCTCTGTAGTCAAGCCCGGCACAGCAACCCAGGCCAGCCGAGCGTGAGCTGATCCTCCTCTATCCAGGGATCAAGGCTGGCATGTCGATCACTGTATCCCTCGCCCGAGTTGGCGCGACAGCGACATTGTTCGCCGAGCGACCGGCAAACTGAGTCGAGTGTGCCCTTAGCTGACAGAGCGCCGCTGGCTTCCTGATATAGGAAAACATCTATTACTTACGCCAACTTTATCAGCCAGTTTAGTAGACGACTCATTCAGTACTGACCACAAACTGCACAGAAATCGCTTGATGGCCGGCAACGGAAACGGCTGATTAGTTACGAGCGAGCGAGCGCAGCGAGCGAAGTGAGTCTTTTTACGGAGCGAGCGAAGCGAGCGTAGTCTTTCCTTAGATTAACGGAAATTTCTGAGTATGAGCGGCCGGCCGGCCGGCCGGCCGTGGTCACGCTTTTGCGAGGCTTATATCTCAGCAACCACTTGACCGATTTACACGCGGTAATTTTTGTAGGGTAGCTTCATTCCTTCTACCAAGTATTGGACTATTCCTGATGCATGTGGGTGACCCCTTATGCACGTGCCACGTGCAAAACGAAGAGGTGTCCGTTTTGTTATTGTTGCAATATCTCGGTAACTACTAGGCCGATTGCGCTGAAAGTTGGCATGTAGGTAGGCACCCACTAGGCACTGCATATCCATGTGCCAGAATTGGGGTGCTGCTGCACGTGCGCACGTGCAGGGGTCGATTCCAGATCTCGAGAACGGCTGGACCGATGGTGCTCAAATTTGGCACATGGGTAGGAACCGGTTAGTAGGGTGCTGTGCAAAAGTCAGTTGGGACCCATTTTGCACGTGCGCACGTGCAGGGTGCCGCTTCCAGATCTCGAGAACGGCTGGGCCGATTGTGCTCAAATTTGGCACATCGCTAGAGACCGGTTAGTAGGGTGCCGTGCATAAGTCAGCTGGAGGTACCCCCTCGAAATGTTGCACGTGCAAGGCTCACCCTCTCGCTCGCTCCGTTAGTCGCCCCAAAAGGCGTTATACTGGTTACGAGCGAGCGAGCGCAGCGAGCGAAGTGAGTCTTTTCAATATAACGGAAAAATCTCAGTATGAGCGGCCCGGCCCGGCCCGGCCCGGCCCGGCCCGGCCTGTAACGCTTTTGAGAGGCTTATATCTCAGCAACCGCTGGACCGATTGGCCTGCGGTCTTTTTTGCTGGGTAGCCCCATCCCTTCTACCCCGTAATTGACTACTTTTGATACACCTCAGTGACCGTCGTGGCACGTGCCACGTGAAAAGTCAAGGGTGTTCAAGCTGTTTTGCAAAAGTAGTGATTTTGAGAGGCTCATATCTCAGCAGCCGCTTGGGCGATTGACTTGCGGTAATTTCTATAGGGTAGCTGCATCCTTTCTACCAAAAATAGGATACTCTAGATGCATGTGGGTCACCCCCAGTGCACGTGCAAAATACAACAATAAGAGGTGTCAAATTTGTTCCCATTTTAATAACTCGGTAATTACTGGGGCGATTTCGCTGAAACTTGGCATACAGGTAGGCACCCACCAGGCAATGCATTCCCATGTGTTGCGGTTAGGGTGCTACTGCACGTGCGCACGTGCAGGGGGCGTTTCCAGATCTCGAGAACGGCTGGGCCGATTGCGCTCAAATTTGGTACACGGTTGGGGACCGGTTAGTAGGGTGCCGTGCAAAAGTCCATTTGGACCCCGTTTGCACGTGCGCACGTGCAGAATGCCGCTTCCAGATCTCAGGAACGGCTGGGCCGATTGCGTTCAAATTTGGTACACCGCTAGCGACCGGTTAGAAGGGTGCTTTGCGCAAGCCCGTTGGAAGTACCCTCTCGCCCTTCCGCATGTGCAGGGCTCACTACCTCGCTCGCTCGTTCTTCGCCCAAAAGGCGTTTTACTGGTCAATATAACGGAAAAATCTCAGTATGAGCGGCCCGGCCCGGCCCGGCCCGGCCCGGCCTGTAACGCTTTTGAGAGGCTTATATCTCAGCAACCGCTGGACCGATTGGCCTGCGGTCTTTTTTGTTGGGTAGCCCCATCCCTTCTACCCCGTAATTGACTACTTTTAATACATCTCAGTGACCGTCGTGGCACGTGCCACGTGAAAAGTCAAGGGTGTTCAAGCTGTTTTGCAAGAGTAGTGATTTTGAGAGGCTCATATCTCAGCAGCCGCTTGGGCGATTGGCTTGCGGTAATTTTTGTAGGGTAGCAGCATCCCTTCTACCAAGGGTCGGATACTCTCGATGCATGTGGGTCACCCCCAGTGCACGTGCAAAATACAACAATAAGAGGTGTCAAATTTGTTCCCATTTCAGTAACTCGGTAATTACTGGGGCGATTTCGCTGAAACTTGGCATACAGGTAGGCAGTGCCTATAGGCACCCACCAGGCAATGCATTCCCATGTGTTGCGATTAGGGTGCTACTGCACGTGCGCACGTGCAGGGGGCGTTTCCAGATCTCGAGAACGGCTGGGCCGATTGCGCTCAAATTTGGTACACGGTTGGGGAACGGTTAGTAGGGTGCCGTGCAAAAGTCATTTTGGACCCCGTTTGCACGTGCGCACGTGCAGAATGCCGCTTCCAGATCTCAGGAACGGCTGGGCCGATTGCGTTCAAATTTGGTACACCGCTAGCGACCGGTTAGAACGGTGCTTTGCGCAAGCCCATTGGAAGTACCCTCTCGCCCTTCCGCACGTGCAGGGCTCACTATCTCGCTCGCTCGTTCTTCGCCCAAAAGGCGTTTTACTGGTGTGTAACATGGAAACGAATAGCGATTGCAGTCATCACGTGCTTTATTCAGTTCTGCCTACCGATGAAACGAACGGCATTGACTTTTAAAGGCAGCCTTTACAGCCACAGTTTAGAGCCGTTTAAACGCATTGAAAAACATTGACGGGCTTTGGCAATGATAACTGACTGGCCCATGGCATCATATGTGATGGAATTTCTCTCCGCCTATCTTTTGTATCTGTCCTGTCTTAATGTCTAACTCCGTCAAGTTTGGTAGTCTCCATTTCTATCTATGTATACGACCGTCTCTCGGTCGTGCCGGCATATCGCTGTCGGTGGTCTCCGTCGTAACCAACTCTCGGTCTCTGTCTCCGTTGCCGTCTCCGTATCTCCACTGTCGTCTCAGGGTCTCCGCTGCTGTCTCTGCGCCTCTGCCACGGTATGTAAGTGGTCGATGGTCTCATTCACCGTCACTCGGTCTCTGTCACCGTCTCTCGGTCTCCGTCACTGTCTCTCAGTCTCTGTCTCCGTCTTTCAGCCTCTGTCTCCGGTACCGTCTTCGTATCTCCGCTGATGCCTCTGAGTCTCCATCTCGGTATATCGGTGGTCGGTGGTCTCTGTCTCCGCCTCCGTGTCCCTTTTCCAGTCTCCGCGTCTCCATCTCGATACATCTCCAGCTGGTGGTCTGCTGCCGTCTCCGTGTCTCCTCTGTCGTCTCCGCGTCTCCATCTCGATACATCTCCAGCTGGTGGTCCGTTACCATCTCCGTGTCTCCTCTATCGTCTCCGCGTCTCCATCTCGATACATCTCCGGTCGGTGGTCGATCAACCGTGAGAGGTGCGCAGCCGACCGGTCACCGTCACCTCACCCGAACAGAGAACCCGTGAGAACCACACCTGCTGGGCTGGTCGTCCTGTGTCAGAGCGCGACCCGACAGACGAGACAACGACGACGACACTGGGAGGAAATGTGACGTGCAGGCCGCCGAGCGCTGCGCAGGGCCGTGCGCCGAACGGGGCAGTGTTAGTGATGTTTCAATAGCTGCAGAGGCATTCATGGCAGCCAGACTAGCAGGTCTGTGTATGTTTCTGAGAAAACTCACGATTGGAAAAATAAGCATACAAGTTAGATCGTAAAAAGGTTCCGGGATCGTGGCAGGCATAAACAATGTTGTTGGTTGTATGTGTAATATCTGAGATTGTTCAGTATAAAATACTGCACGGAGTAGGCCAAGCTAGTGGCAGCTTTGACTGTGATCGTGCCTGGGTAAAGATGTTGCTGCAACGACGGCAATGACTAATGCTAATGTTGTGGCGGTTAAAGGTAGTGTGCCAGCTTTCCTGGACCGTATGGAGTTAATGGCCCAGATAAGGAGAACCGGATTTTTAGAACTTATCCATACCTTCAAAACTCATGGAAACGTCTTAAATTCTTCAAATTTTGAGTACCCCAGTGCGAAATTCGCCCCGACGGGTTGTCGGTCGTACCCCAACCACATTTCACACCACTATGAACAATAAATGCACACACTGAAATCGCTATTACCGATATGCTCATCCAATCAAGTTTCGATAAACCCGTTCATCATCATCTCCTGCGGTTTCGAACACGTCTGTTAGGTGGTGCGGTAGACCGCGCCCAAAGCCAGGGCCCCGGTAACGTGAGGTAGCCGAGTCGGGGCAGCGTGCGCTGACCCAAGCCGGGGCCGCGCGTCCTCCCGGTGTCATGTGATAGCCCGGGGCTGCCCGCGGGGATGCGGTAGACCGCGCCCAAAGCTGCGGCCCCGGCTTGGGTCAGCGCACGCTGCCCCGACTCGGCTACCTCACGTTACCGGGGCCCTCGCTTTGGGCGCGGCTTCTGCTCATACTTTGTGGTGCGGTGGTGGTGCGTCGGGCCGCGCGCTCTGACTTCGGCCAAGAAAAATGCGTCAGCTGATCCTTGTCATTTCTGCCACTTGCGTGTGGTGAAATGGGGTCATAACTTAAGAGACGGCTTTTTCATATCAATTATTTTACATAAAATCATATTTCAAACCATAAATAATGTTCGACAGCCAAATAAAAGAAACAATACCAATACAGGCTTACAGTTTAACCCTCGCCGGACCTATTGGTTTTCTACATACGCGCCGGCCGAGGGGGGGGGGGGGCGGGTACGACCCCCCCCTCGCCGTTTCGCCCCTGGTGGAGCTAGCGCGTCGCGGAAAAAACGAGCGTGTGCGCCGTTACGAGACGCAGAGATTGGTACCCGATTTTAAGGTCCTAGGTCAACCGGTGACCTCTGAGGTCAGGTCAAGTGCCCCAAGGTACGGTTCAGTTTTTGGTGAATAACTTCGCAAAAAACGGCCGCAGAGCGCCGATTTTGGCAGCATCGTGTTCGTCTCGCTCAGGCGCGTCGAATGATATACTTTTTGTCCGGGTCAGGTCAACTTGGGGTGTTGACCTCAGGTCAAGGTCAGGTCAGCATCCCCAGGTCACGAAGTTGGTCGAAAGGGGTCATGTCGCATATCATTCGATTCGGCAGGTCTTCCTGAGTCCATTGGTGGCTTTCCCGGCTCGCTAGCTCAATTTGATCAAGAGTTATTGACGAAAAACTAATATGACCTTGATGACGTCATAAATGACGTCACGCAAGGTCAACATTGCAAAAGTGATGCATCTAACCTTGCAAGGAGTGCATAAAATCACGATTCTGTGTGCTTGAGATAGTTGGAGATCGTTCCCGGCGCCAGAATAGCAGTTTGAATTTTTCCCCATTGACTTATAATGGTGAGGTCACGAAAATGACCTGACCTCATATGACCTTTAGGAAAAATCCGAGATATACAAGTTGTGAGACTCATAATGGATACTAGATCCTGCAAGTTTCATTTCCCTGTGACATCTCCTCTGGCAGTGAGGGCGTTGCGAAGTTGCGACATCTGAAGACCGTGCAGAGGTTCACTTATGACGTCATAGGTCAGTGACCTGACCTGACCCTAAAATGCGGTTGGTGTCAAAAGATGCGGCTTGGATCAAAGGTCAGGTATGCCAAGTTTCAGCTCTCTATCGCCAGCGTGTTCGGAGCTATCGCGAAAAAACCCTATGGGGGGGGCGGCACCCGCCCCCCCCTCGGCCGGCGAGGGTTAAGGCTCGACATTGTGTTGTCTACGATTAGACAGCTGATAACTCATTCCCGTACGTCGTAACTCTATAATGACCTTTGCTTATTGTCACATGTGCGCCGCATTCGCGATTGTTGCCGACGCCTGTTTGCAGTTCAGCCCAGTACAGTTGTTATACATATCGAAAAACCGATAAACTCTTAGGCGAAAAAGGCACTATTTCAGGCCCATTTTTGATTTTTTTTGCGATATTAGGTAAAAACAGAAGCTTCTTATCCTAGGAAAAATAAAATGGGAAATCTTTCAAAGGTGGCACACTACCTTTAACTGGAGGGTGTATACTGCGGTGCTGAGAAAGCCTATGACTGCAAAGGTATGGCTGTGTTATGTAACATGTGAGATCAGAGTCTATAGTTAGTTACAATAGTTATTGCACTGATCTGTGGAATGCAGTGACTTAACCCGGCAGGCGGTGGGCCTACCAGCCACCTTCCGCGCGGTGGGGGGGGGGGCACTTTTTTGCCCCCCCCCCGTATCTCCGAAACTACTGGACGGATCCCGAAAATTCAAACGGCGTTCGATAGCCCTGACAAATTTGTCAAGGGAAACCAAATTTCATTGACCTCGGGGTCACCGATGACGTCACAGGTCAGGTCAAAGATAAAATGTTTCACCGTTCACGGGGCTTCTAGGGAAAGCGCTATAACACCGAGTAAAACGCATTTTGTCGAAAATCAGCGATAATGCGTCAGTTGTCTAGTACATATGTTGCTATTAGAGGTCACTGGTCATACCAGGTCACCAAAGGTCACCAAGGGTCACCACATGAGCCCAACTTTACTAAGGTTTTGTGATGCATGTTTTATGGCCAGTTTTTCATTTCCAACTCAATGGTGTTGGTTATAAGACCATCAGGTACGGTTGAGGTCACTTTCTGGTGCAGGTCAGGTCAAGGTCAGGTCAAAAAAGGTCAAATTTCAAAGTTGATATTTTTGCATAAAATGGGTATCGATTCGATGCAGCTCGTCACGGGGAGTCTAATGGTGGTCTTTGTTTTGCGCTACGAGGTCTGGAATTGCTAAAACAATTGAGTTTGAAAATTTGACGTCATCAATTTTGAACAGTTTTTTTCACTATAACTTGGCCAAAAAAAAAGAGGTATCGATCTCAAATTTGGTATGTAGATAGAAGGCGGTAGGGACTATCACAAATATTCCGTTTTTTCGAAATTCAAAAAACTTTTTGGATTTTTTAGCTATTATATTCAAAAAATCTATTTTTTGATTTTTGGGGGTCAAAATCCAAAAAATTCGAAAACCCGAAATAGCAGTTTTGTAGCCCTTTTGATTCCACACCTTTTATGTCCAAAACATTTTTCTGTATCTCTAAAGCTGTAGGCCTGACAGCTCTTCCCGCGAAACCTTTTTTCGGTCGAAAATGGCAAAAATGACGTCACTCTGACGTCATTAGCGGCCAACCTATCATAGCCTTTGGAAAAATTTTTGGTCACCATGTGCGCTAGCTGCTCCCGGGAGGGTACTGAAAGTTTGTTGACGATCGGCGCAGCGGTTCTCGAGATATATCGAAAAAACTAAGGGGGGGGGGGCAAAAAAATGCCCCCCCCCCACCGCCTGGAAGGTTAAGTCGATGGGTATGACTGGGAATATGACACAGACAAGTGTTATGACTACGGGACGAATGTGCGTGTGCCGTGCAGTGACAGTTGGGATGCAATGCGCTGCAGTGTCCGAGGCCGTGGTGGTGCAGTTTCTGCGGCCGGGTACTGGCTAGGCTGTAACTGTGACCGTGCAGTGCAAACTGCATTGCCGGTACCGACGATCAGTTACAGCGACCGGGCACTGGCCTGGCCAGTTCGCTGCGACACGCCGGCACCCCTGACAGCTCGCGGGGCGTCACCGGAGCCGGCCGGCTCTCCCCCGGCGCCAGTCACTCAGACAAATTGGCCTCGCTCGAGTGGCGTCTGGCACCGTTGCAGGCTGTCCGGCTACACCCAACCGGCAACACGGATCTGGCAATTTTCAGCCGGTCGGGCGCGCCGGGGAAACCTCATCAGCCCAGAATGGCGCGATACGGTCGCGATAAAACCTCCTCTCGTCTAGTCTCGTCTCATCTTGTCGGGGAACCAACAGAGCGTCCGATAATGGCGCTCTTATGGTGATCTTATTTAATGAACACCTGACACCAGACGGGGAGTCCTGGGTACTCAGCGACTCACCTCCCAGTGACCTGCAGGTGACCTCCAGAGGCTGGCCTTCCTGCAGAGGTCCGATAATCCCCGACACGGTCTGGCCATCATGTATAAACTCTGGCTGGCCCGGTGGAACTGTCCAACAACACAGACATGAGAGGTTAATGAGCATGTCAATGACATTTAATCATTCAAAATATATTTCAAGGCTGCAGTTAAGCATTGCACAACAAGTAATAGTTACCTTAGCAATGTTTAATTTGGTACTGATATTCAATTTTCAATTCATTGGAGCGATATTGCAAGATAAGTTAGCGCGTAGGTACTGGTTAGCGCGTAGGTACTGGTTAGCGCGTAGGTACTACTATACTGGAACATGATGCCTCTCTGTATGACTATCAACCTTTACCGACAGCCCATGGTAATTCGACACACAACAAGCAATTACTCAGCAATCTGGTGTTGCCGATCACCTAAGGAGCCCGTATTCACCAATCAAGGCACATCGCAGAGCCTCTGTAATCCAGACTCACTGATGACAGAGAGGCGCAGCCGGTGGTTGCGTGTTGGGCTGAAGCGGAAGTCGACTCGACACCGGTACCTCCCGGCATCCTGTCGCCGGACGGTGGCCAGTCGCAGCACCGCCGGCCGCGTGCCGTGTATGAACGTGGCGCGAACGATAGTGCCCCGGTCACCGATCTCGGAACGCTCCGAGAACGACCGGTCGTTTCGACCGTCAAAACTGCCACAGCGGATGGGAGGGGTTAGGTAGTTAGTAGCTCTATGAAGCGAATATCCACATGAAATGATGGCCTAGCCGAGTTGTCATGAGTGAGACAGCAACAAATGACAATATTGCATTGGTGACGAAAAACTCGTTCCACCTGTTACCTGTAAGTTGGAATTCCCTCGTCGTCTCGGTACCAGAGCACCAGCACGGCGCTGTCGTCGGGGTAGGTAGAAGTGATGTTGCACGGAAGGTCCACGCTGCGGTCCTCGACCCCAACCACCTCTGTCACGTGACCTGAAAGCAGCAAAAGCAGCAGCGTTGTTGGTCACACAGTCGCACTTTGTGAGCAAAGTCCATGTATCACATGGCTAAAAATAGTGAGCACTATCCGACAATTCCTTCAACATGCAGATGAGGGCAGGGCACTCTTATAAGCACAATGAGTCGGTATATGTCCTTGCCCTATATTTGCTATTGAGTCATATGCTGTCAACATGAGACGGCTCACTGCAATGCTTCAAAGACACTTGGTAGCGTTCTTAACAAAAAATACGGCATGTCTGATTCTAAAGTGATTTTATGAGACACGTGTTAAAAAACGTTTTAATTCTTTTCTAACAATTTCCTTCTAAATCTTTCATGTATTTTTGTCGATTCAATGAGCGAGCACGCACTAACTGGCAATTCACAGAATCCAAGCCGACAGCACAGTCATAAAAATGATATTTGATGGGCTTACTAACTACTCATAAGCTGCTGTAAAAAGCGTTAGATCCACCACACATAACTAAGCAAGGACGAGTCAATGAGCTAAGCACTGTGTGGAACTGTCTTGTATAACGCATTTTGTTCCTTTGTCTCTTACAACAGTTCCTTTGTCTCTTACAACAGTTTCGCTTAGCAATACTAATTGATGCCTCAAGCACATAAATCATTGCAAGCCATGAGGACGTGTCCGGACAAAATTTCGTCTGACATTTTTTCGTCGGACAGTTTTTCGTCCGCAGATATTCGTCCGACTTTTTTTCGTCTCGCATTTTTTCGTCTGTACATTTTTTCGTCTGTGCATTTTTTCGTCTGTACATTTTTTCGTCTGTACATTTTTTCGTCCGGACATTTTTTCGTTCGTAAATTTTTTCGTCTGTACATATTTTCGTCCGGACATTTTTTCGTTCAATAAATTTTACGTCTGTGCACCCAAGGTTGAGTGAAAACATAATACAATGCTATTCAACTGTGAGGCGAATGACGTCATAATAATACTCGGGGCGAAGCAGTGCAGTGCCGAAGGCAATGCCTTAGGAGAGATTACAGGCAATGGTAAGTCAAATATTTTTAGGTTAAGTGGTTGTGTATCTGGCTTCAGGCCGAAGGCCTGAAGCCTGATGCATAACCACTTAACCTAAAAAATATTTGACTTACCATTGCTTGCAATCTATTCATGCAAGTAACTTTTTCCTTATCCCCCGGTAGGCAAACATCAGTAGGTAAGGTTAGGTTAGGTTAGGTTAGGTTAGGTTAGGTTAGGTTAGGTTAGGTTAGGTTAGGTTAGGTTAGGTTAGGTTAGGTTAGGTTAGGTTAGGTTAGGTTAGGTTAGGTTAAAATTGTAGACGAAAAAATGTCCGGACGAAAAAACGCACGGACGAAAAAATATACGAACGAAAAAATGTCCGGACGAAAAAATGTACAGACGAAAAAATGAACAGACGAAAAAATGCACAGACGAAAAAATGTACAGACGAAAAAATGCGAGACGAAAAAAAGTCGGACGAAAATCTGCGGACGAAAAATTGTCCGACGAAAATCTGCTGGACGAAAAACCGTCATGGAATCCATGAGGATTGTGCGGCAAAGGCAGAGATATTTCCCCAGAAGCGCCTGCTCCGACCCGACGCTCGGAGTCGGACGGCGCCGGCGGGGTAGACTGTGCCGCAGTGGCTCGGCGTAATGCGGCACAGTCTACCCGGCCAGGGCTGCCGCGCTGAGATTACGGCAGAAGCCGAGCCGTCCGCCCTGTCGTGCCAACTGTCGATAGACTTGAGACAATGCATGTGAATATATTCCCGCTTCCAGCATTAACAATCACTCTAGAAACCAATATGGGCTTTCGGTATCCGACTTGCCTGTCAGGCCCACGACAGCTCCGGCGGGCAAGTCGTGGCTTTAATACTTCAACAGCATTCATTATTCGCCGCCAAACTGACTGTCATTCTGTGGAAAGTGCGCCTTTAGAGTCTCTGAAGATAACTATAGCGCCAACTTTATCGAACTTTGAGCCCTGGGGTCATGTCAATCGGCTGCCATCAATCAGGCCCCGCCCTCCATTTCCGGCCCTTCTGGCGGCCGAGCCATGGGACCGCGACCAATACCGTCATCACAGAATTTGATCGGAGTTCAGTGCACTAGCGCCACGTGACAGTAGTGTGTGAAAACGTAAGGACAAAAACGTTTCTGGTGTTTGGGCGGTTACAGGCAAACAGCCCTGTCAGTGGGAAATGGAACGTTTTCAGCAGTTGAACTATGAAGGCCTTAACCCTCGCCCGCACATGCCATTTTCCCATCCTAGAACGCACATGGGGGGGTGGTTGCCACCCCCCCCCGCGCCATTTCGTTCCTGTTGGAGATAGAGCTTAGCGGTAAAGACCAAAAAGATTCTTTGGGAAGAGACGAATCCAATGATACCCAGTTTTACCTTCTCAGGTCAGTCATTGACCTTCCAGGTCAGGTCAAACTAAAAAATGTTGCTGTTTTGGGTCACCGTTGGATATCAAGTGCGCTGCTTATCATATACCGATAACGATGCCGTTTTCTGGTGCCAAGCCAACTAGAACCTCTTTCTCACACTACCCGACCAGGTTTTTGCTGCTGAGGTCATTTCAGGTCAAGTTAGGTCAAGGTCAATTATATGTGTTTGTATGTCTGTGTGTGTCTGTGTGTATACTGATGTGTGCACCGATTGTTTATGTGTCCATATTACATGAAATCATGATCTGAGAAGCTTTTACCAAAAATGCAGTCAAAAAACTTCACAAAAAGTAAATTCCGCTTGCCTAAAACGCAATTATCTTAGATGACCTAGGTTGACCTTGACCTTGACCTTGACATCTGTACATCGTCGAACAACATGTTCCATGATGGGTGGGAGGTAAGACTGGTAAAAAAGGCCGAAATCAAGGTGTCAAAAGCTCACAAGGCCCATAGCCAACGCAAGATGTCGAGAATTGGCCATTTGGGTCATGACATGACCTGAAAAACAAGGTCATATCTCCGAAACCAAAGGTCACAGAAACTTGAAATTTTCAGTGAACATCAAGAAAGGATAGAGGAGCAGCTATACGAAAAATCAGCCTTCTAGCTCTAAAAATGTTGAGTGCAGAGCACAAAGACTACCTGGGGGGGGTGGCAACCCCCCCCCCCCATGTGCGGGCGAGGGTTAAAGGGACCCTCCCACCTTAACATTAGATTTGAGTTGAGATAGCCAAAATGGGGTCCCTGGCTCACAATTACCGGTTTCGGCACTCACAACATCGAGAAATGCCTTAACCCGGCGGCCGCTGGGCCTCCGCGCCACCCGCCGGCCGCTGGGGGGGGGGGGGCATAAAGTTGCCCCCCCCTTTACTTCTACGGCGATATCGTCGCAACACGAAGAGATAGAGAAGCGAAACTTTGCACACATCTTCCTGAATACCTAGCCGAGGTTGTGTCCAAATTTGGTGTCGATCCAATTTGAAATGACGTCACAGTGACGTCATAAGTGAAATTATAAATTTGCGACTCTCATATTCCTCACGATACATCACATATATGGGACCGAATATAAAGGGCCGATTATTGGTCAGAAACTAGATGGAAGTGTAGTAAGATGTTTTAGGATGACAACAGGTGCTGTCTAGTTCATTTACAGTCGAGTTTCATGCTCAGCGTCATCAGAAACGGTCCATATCGGAAAACGACAAAACTTTATGACGTCACTGTGACGTCATCTTGGGTGCTACAACCACCAAACTTTCCTCAAACATTGCCTAGGTATTCATTTGAAGCTATGCCAAGTTTCACGTTCGTAGCTGATCAGGTTTCGGAGATATTTCACAAAACGTAAAGGGGGGGGCAACTTTATGCCCCCCCCCCCAGCGGCTCGTGGGTTAAATCGGAAATATTAAATTTCAAAATTGCAGCATTTTGATTCAGAGGGGCTAATGCTTAGGAATACCCCTCTGAATGTGTGACGTCAGCGCAAATATCTAACGATTTTTAAATGTTTGACTAAAACGTTTTGTAGCACGCGGTGGTATATGCTATTTGCGCGCAACATCTGCCGCAAACGCCGCACTCCTATGAAAATAAAGTCGCTAGAAACAGCGGAGATCCCAAAAAGTAAACAAAAGTAAAAGTCTAATATCTTGAAAACCGGTGAATATTTTTCGGTGAAATTTGGTAGATATTCGTTTTCGCTCTTTCTGAACCGAGCGACATCACTTTCATGCCAATTCATAAACTTTTTTGAAGGTGGGAGGGTCCCTTTAACAGTGGACGCTACCACTGCGCCACTCGCTGCGGTCCTGGGCGCAGACTGAGTGGGCTGAGCGTTGGGACGGGGTGACTGAGCCCCGGCCAGCCACGAGCCCACACAGGGTGTCAGAGTGGACGGCCGGATATCGCCTGACGCCCACATCACCCCCCGGCGTCCCAGAAGGCCGGCAACTTCCGAGCTGCCGGTACCTGCAGGGACCGCCGTGCTGTCCGCACGACCAAGTTCGCCCCGTGCAATCAATGGGTGTCACTGTGATGCGTCGCTGAGAGGCGGGCAGTGTTCGGCTCCTGGAAGCGAGCCCGTATAGAAACTCATTCAAGCGAGGGAGTCCCGGTTGGCTACCCGGTCAACGCTCGTCTAGGTGAGCACGTGGGGACACGACCCGGTCCCAAACGCCGGAGGTCAATGGATTATAAATGAAGTTCAGTAGTTCAAGCAATACTCTTGAAGGTAATGTGCCTGACCTTAATTGATTTCGTACTCTGCACGGACATTCATCCCTTTGAAACAATCTTTTTTTTCAAATTATAATTGCCTTGTGCATTGAAACTGCAAAACACGTGCCTAACTACAAAATAAGAAATTAACACGACATGGACCTTTGTGGGGACTTTTCGGGCGTACCTACTTTTGTTCGGAATGCATCAATCGACGATAAAGCCCTAGTCTACTAATTAAAAATGTTAATAGTTAGGTCAGCACAGCCGACGCCTGTGCTGTAACGGAGGGTAGGACCGAAAAAGCGGCTCCTGCTACCAGGGTT